AAATTGGGGTTCTGGGTTGATTTTACTGTTAAAATCTGGAATGGATTAAGAATGGCTGTGGCACTTTAAAATATTCCAGATTTTCAGTCATTCTGCTCTTTGAAAGTGTGACAGCTCGGAAGCTGAAGCCTTAGAAAAGTTTTGGTGGCTGTTGCCCAATCAGGAACAGCTGGCCAGAATCACATGATTCTGATTTCTTTACTTTGCTATTAGTAGGCTCAATGGCTTTGTGTATTAATATTGAAGTACAAAGCCAGCGAGAACCACTGAAGACAACACGTAGTCTAGCCTGTTGCTTTTACTAAGCCTTCTGCATAAGTTAGTCCTTGGCTTTGAATATACACTTGCATGAGCAAGGACTGAACAGGTATGCCATGAAATAACATTAACTGTGGCTCTTAATGATGGCAATTTTAATTGTATTTTGACAGCATTAGATAACTTTATATCCTTTTTTAAATACCTCTCGGCCTATCATACAATGTTATTGTTACTTAAGTGCAGCCAGCTTGTGCTGTCAACTGCCCAATCCTGTGGCCAGGCACTTAAATGCAGTTCTGTAATGAAGATTGAGTACCATCAAGCTGGGACAGTTTACTTAAGATGAAGATGTCCATTCCCTATTAAATGCCAACTGCTTGTTTTAATCATTAGTCAGGCATGACAAATTAGTTGGGCTATGTTACAACTATTTTTTCTTCTTCTTACTAACTTTGCTCACGAATTTTTTAAACAGCAGCTGATACACATAGAAATTTGGCAGATAATGAATGTTATGTGTTGTGGAAAATGGGATGTGTGAGATTTCTCGACAGAGGTTGCTTTTAAATGCACAGGCACAGCAGGGCCTGTTAAAAGGTAACTATCCTGACAGTGACTCCTTGCACCTGTTAAAAACAAATCGTTGCTTTACCTACCATGTTGTATAGGGAGCCCGTGTGGCCAGACCTGTCCAGCAGCTCTCTTGCTGGTTACGTTATCCCCCCCTCCCTGGCATCTGCCAAGAGAAAGCCCAATGGAAAGGAGGAGCTGTAATGTATTTAACTAAAGGAAAAAAAGAAGAGGTTTTTTTGAATATTTTTTTTTATTTTTGGTAATGGAAACTTGGCGGTCAGGCTCCCCTCGTTGCTGAAAGGGCCGAGCCTTTCAGCAAAGGCTGTACGCTATACAATGGGCACCCTGCTGTTCTCTCAGTGCTTGCAGCCTTGCCAGATGTTACTGGCGTATGAGCATGCACTCCCTGCTTAATCAGAGCAACATGCAAGTTTCCAGGATGCCAAAAAAGAAAAGAAAAGAAATCACCCTTGGAGAAATGCCATGTGTTTGTACTGAGGCTGGCAGCCCAGAATTTTCCTTACAGCACCTAGTCTGAAGCAAAGTAGAGACTTAAGACAGTGCCTAAGTCATAATAGCTCATCTCTGTGCACACTACGTAAATTACTCATGTCTCAGACCTGCCTCTCCAAAATTGAAGAACACTTTTCTTCAACCCTCAAATATACTGTGTATTGATAGTACCCATCTTTGCATGGATGGAAATCATGGCCACAACTAGGATGGGGAACTGGAACTTTGTCCCAGAGATCCAACATTTAGAGGGCACCAGTGAATCAGCTCACTGATGAGTGTCAGACTGCTTCACTTCCTCCTTTTCTGGAAGCATAAACTTTTCCTTTCTTTCAGGGGGAATAACTTTCTCCTCCTTTTCTGTAGTAAAGACACCTTCCCATTCCCCTGGGCAGCATGGATGGGATATACAGTGGTGCCTCGCAAGATGATTGCCTCGCGGGACGATTAATCCGCAAGACAATGGTTTTTTGCGATTGCTGTTGCACTTTGCAAAACGGTTTTTCCTATGGGCGATTTTCGCTAGATGATGTTTGGGTCTGTGCTTTGCAAGACGGTTTTTTTTTTTAAAAAAGACCTATGCTTTGCAAGATGTTCCCCATTGGAATGCATTAAATAGATTTCACTGCATTCCAATGGGGAACCACGTTTCGCAAGACTATGTTTTTGCAAGACAGTGATTTTCGCGGAACGGATTAACATCGTCTTGCGAGGCACCACTGTCGTACCAAAATTGGTAGTTAGCCTGTGGTGGAGAATCACTTATAACTTGCTACAAAAAAACTTCCGCACTAACTTAGGCAGCTGTAAGGCTTGGACATGCTGTTCTTGCCCTTTTGGGGCGATTACTGGGATCTTTAGCTATACGTGTATGTGTTGTTATAGTATACTTCTGGAGCCTTCTGAGAGATGGTCCTGCTCACCTCATCCTGTGAAGTTTCTATCCTAGATCTTTCCCTTCGACTTTTAACCTCCTGTGTTCAGACTGAAGTGATGCAGAACTATGTGCTGGTTAAAGCTTCAAACACAGCAGCACATTTAAAGGGATGACAATTGCTTGTTGTATTTTGAAAATGGAGTAACCCCTTAGGTCTACAACTTAACATAGGCTACTTTTAAGATGCAAAGTTTCTAGAGTCTGGAAGGTATGGCTCAGGCAGACAGCCAGATATTCTCTTTTGCCATTACAGCTAGGTATTTGTAAAAACTGCCTTGGCTGGGTTAAGGCAAGTTTTGTTTTGTCCGGCGTTGTGCTTCCAGTCAGATGTCTCTGGAAGACTTCTAATGATCTTTGCTTCAGTCCGTTTCTATAGCTATTTGTTTTGTTTAAATTCTCTTTGCAATTCCAAGCTCACTTGATGCTAGAAGGAAAACAGAACCCACAAAATGTTGCTGTTTGAGTGAGGAAAGGCCTTGTAGCATAGTAACAGAGCACATCCATGGTTCGATCCTAAGCGTATGCAGTTAGAAGGACTGAAAGAAGCAGTGTTGAAATGGAGCTTTACTGAGATTTAGGAAGCGACAGTCAGTCAGAAGGGACAGTACTGGGCTAGTATTGTCTGGCTCGTTTCAAATTAACACTGATTTTTCTTTAGTGATTTTTACCAATTTTTTCATCTTTCCTAACTTGATATGCTTCTACATTGCAGCCACTGCTATCATTGACTGTTTTGTAGTAGTTTATGGCCTACATTGTTTAGGGTTCCCTGCAAAACAGTGTTTGCTTGGGCTTAGCCAAGAGTTCAGTCTGCTCTCCTTTGTGTGCCTCCTTGCCTTGACCTCATCTCCAGCTCTTACCTAGGAGAATGCAGGAACATAGGAAAAGTTATGCTGGACAAGACCAAAGCCCTACCTATTCCTACAGTCTAATCACACAATGGCCAGTTAGTTGTCTGCGAGGAGCCTGTTAGAATGACATGAGTTGTCTTCCAGCTGTTAATACACAACAGCAGACTTTATTTGAGGTAATATTTAACCATTCTGACTAGCAGTCCTGTCTTCCCTGAATTTATCCAGTCCCTTTCAAAATCCACCCATGTGGCTACCACTACATCCTGTGGCAATGAATTCCAGAAATTAACTATACCCTGTTTGAAAGATTGTCTTCTATTATCTGCCCTGGAACTTCCATCAATCAACCTCAATGTATATGTGGACTTGGGATGTTTTCCTTCTGTATGTATCACTTTATACATGCTTACATTGAATCTTATTTGCCATTCTTTATCCCTGTAATTCTGATTTTTAAAAATCACTTTAGAACACTTCCCAAACTATTCTGTTGTGTCTGCTCTGGATAGTTTGATACTGTATTGTTAGCAAGCATGGGCATCTTACTAGTTATTCCTGATTCCACATTATTGATGGACAGGTGTGATATAGTGGTTACCGTATTGGAATTGGTACTTTGATCAAGATTCTGGGTGACATTCAGCCAGCTATTCTCTCTTATCCTGACTTACCCCTGTGAGCAACTAGCAGGAAGGAGATCTGGAAATTCACCATATTATGCCTACTTTAGTGAATCTAAACATATCTTCCTAGCTACCAATTTCTGTCTCCTCTGCTTGTTTTATCCATACATGTTGCAGAATCCACTTTTCCAACAGAAGGGTGCTTCCAAACTACACTTTTTATCATGGCCTGAGACTGCCGTTTACAGACGTTTGCAGGGGATACTGATGTCTTCAGTTTGTAGCGCTCTTATGTTTTCCCTTTGTCCCTTCTGTTTTTTTGGGGGGGGGGGTTGGTTTTTTTTTTTAACCAGAGAAAACCTGTTAAGGAAAAAAAATATATAGAATAGCTGCATGAGGCCTCTTAATTGTGAGCAGTTGGAACCAAAGAAGCATCCGGAATTCATTTGCTTAAAAAGAAATTGAATGTTGCAAGATAACCAAGATATAGCAACATTTTGGTTCTTTCTGTACAAATACCATAGGCATAAACCCATCAGCAGTCATTCTGCCAGCAACATAAATCATTGCGGGATTTGTTAGCAAGAGATCATGCTTTGGATCAAGAAAGACCAATAGCTAGTATCCTTCCTGCCTTTCAGAGCATGGCCCTGTTGCATTTTTTATCATTGCTGCTAATATTATTTGCTCTTTTCAAAGCTATATTTAGATTGCATTTCATCATGTTTCCTATATGCCTCCCACCTGATCCTCCCAACAACCCTGTGAGGTCAGTCAAGCTGAAAAAGAGAGTGAATGGCTCAAGATCACACACTGAGTTTCACAGCTCAGAACTTGGACCTTCCAAGGTTGCCAGTCAAACACTCTAGCCACTGTCCAACAGCCCATACTTTGACTATTTTTCACAACAGATTTGCATGGGTATCTTCATACTTTTATAATGTAATGTTTGTAATAGAAGGGTCTAGATGCATACAGGCAATAATTTGTATGGTTACTGTAAAATCACAAGTAGGAAATCTTTAACCTGGTGTCATGGGCCTGTAATGGCCATTCCATTCTTCCCTCATCCTTTTCCCTTTGACTTGTCTTCTTGCACCATGTGACTGTAGCCACAGAGCACAATGTGGTGGTAAAACCTGTTACCCACTTCACTGTAGGAAGTTGGTGCTGGCTGCCTTCCTCCCAGTCTCCTAAATAAAAACATTTATTCCATTCTTTTTTCTCTTAGTTTATGACGTTCTGAACTCTGCTTTGGAGACTAGTGGCACATGGATTGGACGAAGGCTGCTACAGGAAGCTGAAGAGAATGTCACGGATGACCCTGAAGAAACCAGACATCTCTATCTCAAAAACTGCACTGAACCAGGTAGGGTTGTCTTCTTGTCCCTTCTCTTGTTCTAAGTTGTTGGTTAAGCTAAAGTGTTCTAGAGTTGCTGGGTACAGGCTCTTCTGCATTTTTGTTCCTTTTTTTAGATTTGTCATTATATTGTCTTGGATGCATTTAAAATATGATAAATCCATCTCAGTATGAGCTCAAGAAGATGAGGCTGGCCGAATCTCAGCAGGTTTCACAGCTGTGTGTAGTGAAGCGGAGTGTCTCAGAATATGAAGCAGTTTTTTGACTGAAAGTATGCAAAAATATTACACAGGTGACCTTGAGTTTTTATTATATGAAAATGTGATGTGAATATTCAGATGGTAAGATTGATAAAAGTAAATTTTGAGCAGAGGGCTTGATTGTGGTTTATTTTCTTGTTTTCCAAATCTATTGTGGGGCTTTTTTAAAAAGGGGGGGCATTTTTCTGTGGTTTTAATTTAAGTTCTCATGACTGTGATGTGCAGAATTATCAGAGCCACTCTTCTGCATGAAACTTGATGTTAGGATTCTTCCCCCACCTCTTTTTTTTAAATATGTATAGTCATGAATCATGTTTGCTGTGCCTGAAGTCAAATTATGACAGGGAAATAAAAGGTCAGGACTTAAATTGATGTTATTTTTCTAAAAGAAAAATAGATGTCCCTTCTTGCCAGAGAAGCAGCAAAGGCTTTTTCTGCAGGATTATAAAGGTTAAGGGCTCAGGGGAAGTCTTGTTAAGTATGGTGCATATTCTAGCGTGGCACATCTTATTTCTTTTTAAATCCCTAATAACATCGCTGAGTCAGTTGGATGACCAATTCTATTTTTTTGCACCCCCAGAGTTCTTCTGCTTCCTCTCATGGTTATGAGCTTTTGAAAATATGATAATTTGTGACATACACAGAAAGGCAACGATTTTCTGTTTGAATTATGAATCTTTTGATTTCCTTGAAGTATAAGAAATACTATACTATACTATAGTTATTGTAAAAGAAGATTGAATTTGCCTCACTAATCCATTTTATGGTGGCCTGTGTGAGAGCCAGTGTGGTGTAGTGCGTAGAGTGTTGGCTATGACACAGGTGATCTGGGTTCAAATGGACCATGGAATATCACTTGGAGCTAAACATGGCAAACCACTTTGTGAACATTTCACTTTCCTCAAAAGCTCTACTAAACACACCATAAATTAGAATTGACTTGATGGCATGTAACACACATATGATGTAAACAAGTGGCATAATATGTTTATTTGTTTAACACTTGTCATCCTGTTATTCCTAAACAAGCCCAAAGTAGTTCTCTGGATGTCACTGCTTAAATGAACCATGTTTCTGAAAAGCACTGGATTGTACTTTTAAACATGATCTTCTTTCTGCTTAGCTCAGAGTTTGGAAATTTGATCCAAAAGTTGTAGACAGAATCTCCAAGCCAGCATCGCCCTAAACCTCTTGTACTACCTCTTGAAGAATATGGCACGAAGATTGTTGCTTTAACAGTATGCTGACTGCACTATGAATTCTCTTTCCAAATGGGCCTTTAACATGGATTTCTATTCCCATTATTGATTTCTCTCACTACTTTTCCCTCACAATATCCTAGAATGAAATAGTGCTGTATTGGTATAGAAAAATCAAATGAAAAATAATATTGGGGATCATGAATAAAGGTCTATGTCTGAAGAATAGGAAGTTATATTAAGGGGCAATTAAGGGAGGTTAATCATCAGTAATCCTCAAGCCATGTTCAATAGGAAGCACTAGAACAGGATGAACCTGAAAGCAGGAAGTTTTTGATTGATATTGGAAGATATCTTATTTATTTATTTATTTAAATAAACGGTCTGAAACTCAACATCAAAAAACTAAAATCATGGCCACTGGTCCCATCACCTCCTGGGAAATAGAAGGGGACGATATGG